GGAGTTCGCACATCGAGGTAAATTTTTGCGGCTGGGGCTGGTTGTAACCCGGAAAGTTTGTTAGTAGAGGCGTTCGTATCCCGAGGTACCACTGTAAAACATCTGGCATTGTTGCTTGTGATCTTCTAAGAATTTAGTAACAATGTATGAAATCTTGCAAGGTTTTGGCATTCTTGCTCAAGGGGTGGCTTTTGATGTATGTTCATGCACTACAACAGTGTTTCTCAACCTTAGCAACTTTAAGATATGGAGACTTCATATCTTCATGGCTGGCTGGGGAATTCTGGGAGTTGAAGTCCCCATATCTTAAAGTTGCTAAGGTTGAGAAACACTGCACTACAACTCCCAACATGCCTCATCACTGGCTCCAATGGCCAGGACTGCCAAACACTGTGCTCTAGCGCATATGGAGGACCACTTTTTCCCCACTTCTGTCCGGAGCCATCATGGATTAAGTCAGAGACTTCTCTACAGAGGTCTGCAGTTCCACCTAAGTCAACCCCAGAAGAACCAATGTAGGCTCCTACCCACTGACTTTCCCAGACTTCACCCTGCCTTTGCAAGGCCCAGACCTGTGATGGTGACAGAAGCGTGGGTCTCCTGGCGAAGCAAAGAATTCTTTATCAGGCAACTGTAGGTGCTGTTAGGTTCAAGTACCACCCGCAGGATGCTCTGGACATCAAAGAGACCCTGCTCATTGGCCACCTGGGAGGTGGTGATGTTGTCAGTGATGTTGTGGCCGTGGCCATCTTGCCAGAGCACGACAGCTTCAGGGTACCCAGAAAAGCTGTGGCATGTCACTGTGACCAGGTCACCCGGCTTCAAGTTCTTGTTGGGTTCCAAGTTCAGGTTGGGCTTGGAGTAGGCAGCTAAAACAGGAGAAGAACGGTTCAGGGATATGACTCACAGTATGAATTGCCTGTAATTCAAATATAACACTAAGCCACCCCAGCACATTATGTCATACACCACTGTGGAAGACCAGACCGCTTGACAAATTTGCAGCCCCCTGGGCTACCTTTGTCCTGACCCATTTGAACCTCCTCCCCACCCCAGCGTCAGCCGGGAAGAGTTGCCAATAAAGCAGCAACCTTGAGACAAGTGTGGGAGCAGAGGCGTGTTTTGGAGCTCTGCAGCCATCGAGAGACAGAGAGCAGCCAGCAAAAGAAAGAAGGTGTTCTTCCTTCAGAGGACGTGGATGGTCCAAAGAAGAGAAGAAAGAAGGAGAGAGGCCCAGCAAGACAAAGCCCAATGTGGAAGGAGGCAAGATCTCTACATGCTGGCCATTAATGGAGAAGAAAAAAGTAGAAATCCCACAGAGAAGAATTAAGGCAGAACAGACTTTGTAAGAAGAAAACATGCCTATAGAATTGTAATAGTACAGAGAATAGTATAGAGCAGTGTTTCTCAACCTTGGTGACTTTAAGATGTGTGGACTTCAACCCATGCTGGCTGGGGAATTCTGGGAGTTGAAGTCCACACATCTTAAAGTCACCAGGGTTGAGAAACACCGGTATAGAGGAAACGTTAGAATAGTAATAGCAATTAGTAATAGTAAACAGTAATAGCAGTGGAACAGAATATATGATAGAGGTAACAGGAAGCACTCACAGATGGATTTGTAAGTTTCACCTGTCACTTTCCTACCTTTGTTTTGTAAAATAAAATGTCTTCCCAACCCTTATAGGGAGATATAAAAGAACACCTGTCCACAGTCCAGTGCTCTGGGGTCTGTCTTGAGTCTGGGTCAATCTAATTGGGTAGGGTTTTAAAAAGAACCCATGACAATTGGTGGCAGCCCAGGATTGGCTCAGACTCAGAAGACTCCTTAAGCATCGTGCATGAAATGTTAAAAAAGGTTTAGCTGCTAAAGGAAGGGAAATTGGCCCTTGTGGACACTTCATCGAAATCTTGGTTGGCCAATAGTGTAGTGACTTAACTATAGAGTGGTCCATTGTTGTATCATTGCTATAACAGAATTACATGCTGCCAGGGCTGGGTTCATATACCACACCAAGCCTAAAGCAAACAAGCCTACTACGGCTTAGTGTTACATGTGAATCAGATGGCTCAATTCCTAGATCTATTCTGGACTGCATTGCTCACCTATGACCACTTGGCCTGACTATCAGCAATCTGGCAAACTTTGCATTCTGACCCCTTGGGCCTCAGACTCCACCTGGCCCCAGGGTCAAGAGAAATCTCCACTGTCAGGTTCTTTGTCAGCTGTCTAATCCCACAAGCAAGAGTCTTGCGGAGTTCTCTTTAGCAAGATTTATGAAACAAACGGGATGGCGTTACAAGAATTCTAGCAACTGAACATTTTCCATTTAGAACCAATACATCCTCTGTCTGGTAGGACAGAGACTTTCTGATCTTCTTTCCAACAGCAGGTCTCTTCACTGACAGCAGAGAAACTTGCAGCTGGCTCTTTATATGGTGGTCCCTTAAAACGTTAGCAGTTTGGGAACCAACCCTAACAACCACCTTTTTTCTAGCTCACCTGCCATTTGTAGAGTAACAGCTGCACTGCTGAAGTCCCGAACTCTGACGAAGCAGGTGAAGCTCCCTTCATCTGAAATCTGCACGTGGCGCAGCAGCAGGGACATGTTGCCTTGGGCCAGCTGATCATAGAAGAGGGCAGTGCGGTTGGCATAACTGCTCCCTTGGTACGCCAGCTGGTCCCGACCCTCCGCAAAGCTATGCACCAGCTGTTTGGTATCTGTCAGCTGCCAGATGAGGCTGAGATCATCCAGACTAAAATTGGCATCCGGTGAGAAGGAACAGTGCAGGATTGCATCATGGCCAACAAGGGCGACCACAGGCTCTTCGGAGACCTTGATTTCCACAGCACCTGATGGGAAGGGGACAACACAACACAACACAACACAACGCAAAGATTCACTGCTGAGTCACTTGCAAAAGCCGGAGAAGAGCTTTGGGGAAGAAGCCTTGCCCTCTTCCATTCCCTTTGCTAGTTCAGCAAAGCTGCAAGTCTCCATTTATGCAAGCCAGGGTACCTCATCACCCCTGGTTCCCAACAAACTAGAAATCCACCATTTGGACTCCTGCTCTACTAAGGTTGACTGGTTCAAGCAATATACTCAGGCACTACATATTTCACTTCATTCAGCAGCTTATGCCAAGCCAGACACTGTGGTTTGCAAACCATTGTTTACCATTTAGCGTGCTGTACAAACCAAACCAATTGTAGCTTGCTCAACAAAGTGTGTTTAAGACAGACCTGACTTTCTGCCTTTTTGCATCCAGCCTCGAGGTCCTTCTTACACAACTATAAGAGAGACCACGGTTCTATTCACACTGGACTTTGACTCTAAAATCCCCAGTCAGGAATAGCCGGAGGCCTATAGGAATTGTCCCCTGGCTGACATATCTGAACAACATCCAGGACCAAATGGAAAATGCTGACGAAAGTGGGGAGGAATCACGTCACAACCCAGAAACTCAGATGTTCACCTCTAGATGTCACTCTTAGTCTAATTTCATCACATCACTCAGCTTTATGCATCATTGAGGCTCTGCATGTAATTTGGGGGAGGGAGACAGAGTTGACTCAAGTACTAACGCTCCAGAGAACCAAAACAAACTGCATTATTTCATTCATGTACAGATACACATTGCTGAGAACGAAAAACTAGCCAGACTTTTGATATGGAATTGCCACTGGAGCAGGTGCGTCATACCATCCACAAAGATTAGAAAAGCTTTGACACCGGGATGGAGAAGAAACATGTTCATATTAATGGTCAGGATATGCACCAGGACCAGGGAACCCCAGATTCAAGTCCACCGTTAGCTATGGAAGTTCACAGGTTGACTTTGGATCATTCTGTCTTAGCCCAGCCAACGCCATAGATCTGCTGCTTAGCAGAAAACTGGAAGAGTGGCCTGTATAATCCTACTTTTTTGAGTTACTGGAAGAATGAAGGGACATAATTTGAACAAACAAATAAATCCATGAACTGGACCTCTTTTCCATGCCAAACTCTGCTTTCCTAATACGTGGGTTATACAAGAATTTTTCAATACAGTCTGACATCTAAACCAGCCTGCAACAATGCATTTATTAGCCCATGTACAACATGGATTGTGTTAAGAAAAGGTTATGTGATAGAAGAGGCATATTAGGAAATATGATAGCTAAAGAGGGTGCTGCACTGACTCCTTACCCTCACTTTCTGTTAGCCCTTCAAGGCAGTCAAGACAAGAAGAACAACCAAGAATACTAGCTGTATCTTTATTGTAAGGTTACATTAACAGAATCTTGCAAGACTGAAAGTATTTCTCTCTTCCTCCCCTCTTACTCTCCAGAAAACTAAGGAGAGTCCCTTCTGAGATGTTTCCCATGCCCTCCCTCCTTCTGTAGGCTGAGATACTTTTTGCATGATGCTTGTCCAGTCTGTGGCTCTCCCTCCTGTCTCCCAAGGTCATTCCCACAGACCATCACACTTTCATCTGACAATTCCAGAAGTATAAGGAAACAGATAGGTTCCATTATAGGAAAACTTCCCTAACCAAGTCAGACTTGGAGCCTGGCAGAGAAAAGTGGAGAAGGCAAGTCCACGATGCTCTCCTTACTTACCTAACCAGGTGGGCAGGAGAAAACTCAGGAGCAGCAACTGGATGCACACCTTCCTTGCAAAGGAACAGTCCTGGGAGACAGGAGGCATACAAGTGTCGGGGCGCATGATCAGAGAAATCAATGGTGCCCTTCCTGAAGGGAAACCAAAGAAGGTAAGACACGTGCAAAAGCCCAGCCCCAGGTTTAGTGTCCATGTTGGGTTGACAACTCTATGAAAAGCTAAGCAGAGTCAAAACAACAGGAGTAAGTAGGTGGCAGAGCTCAGCTGACCATGGGTGATCTGGACAATCCAAGCACGTTGTGATCTGGTTAGTACTTGGATGGGTGATTATCAGAAAATTCTAGGGTTGTAAGCTGGAAAAGGAGATTAAACAAAGATTCTGGGAAAGGGAATAGCAATCCCCTTCCAAGATCCTTCTATAAAATGTCCACATAGGAATCAGAAGCTCGACTCAACTAATAGCAGATTTTTAATTTTTTAATTTATTTTTTTGAGGTGCCTTCAATGAAATTCTTACACATGGAGTATGGTGCTCTTGCATTTATTTGTCAGGTTGGCCAAACGATGCATATCATCACCATTTGTGTCATCCTCTCTCCTGCGGTCTCCAGCCCTCTTGGCTTCAATTAATTCCTGAGGAAGATTTCAGGAAGAAACTCCCTTTTGTGGCTTCATCAATCTGGGCAATCAAGGAGATGTCTGAAGGCCAGAAATAGGTATCACCAAAACCAACAATTCTAGCCGTGGTGCCTTCTGCCACCTTCAACAATCAAGTCAGCTCAAAAACTCCCTCACAACAAATTCCAAACACGCTCTCACCCCTCCCTCAAGAATAAGGTAGACAAATTAAAGCCTTTTTCAGGGAGGGGGGATTTTAAATTACTATCTGGCATAGCACCAAGGTGTGTTTCAATCTGCCAACTCAAATTCTCTTCCTCCCAGCAAGACCCACTGGCCGTCCTGCAAAGTCCAGACAGTTATACCAGCTTCCTTCTTCCTCTGCCTCTTCCCCACCCTTCTCAGCCCTCTAATTATCATTCACATTGTGACAAGTCTATTTATTTGACATCACCAGGAACTCTCTATTTATAAAGTCCTCTGTGTTTATATTTTTAGCCTCCTTCTACCAGGACTCTTCTGGTGTCCCTTTCTCTACCAAGAGAACCCTGTAATTGTCAAGGCTAATTCTTTTTTTATTTTTTATTTTTTGCTGCCAGCAAAGCGTGCCAGCTGCATTACATGGCAGAAAACACAAGCACGCAAGATAATGCAAAATACCAGATTCTCCTAGAAGGCAGCAATGGGTTGGGGAATTATACATGCAAGCTTAGAATTATGTAATAGTCTTTCTCCTCTGGAATTGTGTTTGGATGGTGCCCCAATTAAATACATAATATAATTTTGTATCTAAACTGGGACACTGGATTTTGAAACACCCAACCCAGCCTAATTTCCAGAGAGGTAGCAAACAGTTCAGTGAATATACTGGCCTTCCCCATACACAAAGTTTCTGCAGCTTGGATCTTTTAAGAACAGGCAGATTGGGGGAGGCGTGGGAGGGAGGCCACAAGACAAATTAAAGGAGCTTTCCATCTAGAGCCACAACCCCAGAGGCTGACTTTTTGCCCTCCACAGTCCTTCAAGGAAATCAGCAGAGATGGCACCTACCAGCTGAAGGAAATAAATAACCATCAGCTTTGTCTTGAAAGCATGAGATGCCCATGGGCTACAGAAACAGTTGAGCTGAAGTGCCACGGGGACATCCCTTAAGTTCAGAGATCCACCTTGGCACAGATCTCCTTGCCAAGCCAACCACCCAATCATCATCACGAAAACTCAGACATACCATCAGCTTCCCTTCCAGTTTGAAAACAGGTTTGGTGTCTTGCACCAGACAGCAAAGTTGAACAGCATTTGATTCTGCACTTTCATTTTCTCTCCTCTCACTCACAACTAAACCTTTCCAAGTTGTGGGCATGCAAAGCTGGATCATGGCAGATGGAAATCTCTGGTTTTATTTCCACAATGGGGAACCCCAGAATCCTCTCTCTTTTTTGTAGAATGACTCTAGAATTTGGGTGATTGCAATTACTATTTCCTCCTGGCAGTGAAACTGCAGCAAGAATAGCAGCTTAACTGGAAATCATTTGATGGAAGAACTTTTAATCAGTTAATCAGCCAATAGGCAGGAACTAGGAATAACGTTGCAAGATTTACTGCCTTCTATGGACCTCCAGAGATGATTCTAAACTTGAGGTGCTACCAGTTCAAATGTTCAGTCCAATGAACTTAAACATGCCCAGTAACTGAATGTTTACAAATTAGAAAATAATTAATTGTGGTTGTGCCCTAACACTGCCCTCTTTAAAAAGGGAGGGGAAAAACACTCTTTTTTATCATACAGATGTATTTCTCTAAAGGCAATATTTTAAAAGAAATTATATTTCCTTTTCCTGCTTCTAGCAAACTTTTAAATCCCCAAACCAACTAAACTCATGATCTGCCCAGATGCTGCTGAAATACAATTCCCAATGTAGCTGCAAGTGGTTTTATCTTTAACTTCTTTCGATCCCTTGACTCACCTTTCCTGTGTAATTGTGCAAACATCTACCCGTGGGCTAGCCTTAGCAAGCCCAACTGTATTATGCAGTCCCCAAAACATGCAAAGAGCCATCATAAAATAACAGCCTCCTCCCAGGACTTTCCAGATTAAGTCATGCCTTCCTTGCAGAAGTGAAATGGACAAAGATTGGTCAATCACCCATCAGCTTTGCTTGCTGCAAAAGCTACGGGGATGGTTTCAGTTGAAAAGGAGCACATGTGCACCAGCCTTTTCCAACTGGAAGGTCTCCACATGAGTTGGAATTACAATTTTCAGAATCACTGGCCAGCAATGAGGGCTGGAAATGTTGGAAGCTGTAACCCCAAGACATCTGGAAGACACCAAGTTGGGGAAGGCTGGTGTATAGGCTCCCATCGAATTCATTATCAGAAGCGGCTTCTCAAAGAGGTGTGAAATACACTAACTAACCAGCAGGACTATGGAAATGACCCAACCCTGTTCAGCCAGAGAAAAGAGTGAGTCTCTGGCCAGATCGCTCTTTCCCCTGGAGCTAATGAAGTCTTGTTGGTCTCTGGGGAGAGGAGGGTGTGGGCTGAGAAGCATGACCCAAGAAGTCATAATGCGCAGCAAGCTAGCCAATCTTGCCTGCTGAAGTCATTCTGCCAAAGGAAACAGCTGACTACCTCTGTTGCAGCGCAGGCACCCTATCTCAAACGGAGATTTCAGGAAATGAGGAACCAAAGTTTGAATGACACACACAGAGTCAGACACGCGTTAAAACGGGCATCTCCGAGCACTTCTGTCCAGAGAGGGTACAGCTAGATTGGGTTAATTCTCCAATTCAGCACAAGAAGGTGCTTCACACTGTGATGCGCCCAGACCCGAGGGGCAGTTCATAGGAAGCCCACAATCTGCTTTGCTTTGACAATTTCACCTCATCCATCCTGCCCCGTCACTTCTCTGGCTCGAAGCCCAGCCAGCCCCATGGAAGTTCCCCAGCAGGGCCACAACTTACATCTTCTCAAAGACATTAGACTCTGGAGGTCCAACTTCCTAAAAAGTTTGGGCAACATGATGCTTAAATAAGTATGTGTATGCATGTACGTGTGTGTGTGTGTATACACACACACACACCACCACTGTATATTCAACAAACTTTTCATTTGCATCACAGAGATTGTGAATGTGACCTAAGCTGTTCTCTAAACTGGAAGGGGGGTTTGAAATTGACTTTGAGAATTCCCAAGAATATAAATTCTCTTGCAAGAAGCTGATGAAATGAGTTTCTAGATGGGGAGAGTTGTTAAATGGTTTCTTTAATCAACTACTACTGGCTAGGTTACACACTAAACTAATCAATTCAGTGCCTGCAGATGGATTTCAACAAGAATTGGAATTTGCAGTTCCTCATCTTCCCTCCTCGTCTCTTCTTCCTCTTGTGCTGTATCTTTTAGACTTTTAGGCCTTTTAGACTATAAGCCTATAAGAATCAAGTGCGATATATCATCAAAGAGGTTTCAAAGAAGCTTTTGACACCATTTCTGGGAAGACAAGAAGTGATGACATTCCTTGTGTCAAGCATAGAGCAGAATTTGCCACTGAACTTCTGAAAACAAATGACAAGAGTTTAAAAGAATCAAAGAATCACAAGAATTTCCTCAAAATAGACAATGGGAAAACCTTAAAATAAAGTGGTTTGAACAAAACAAAGAAGGTGATCTCATCTTTCTCCAGGATGGATTACTTCTTTCCAGCCAAACCCTGTGCAACAGAATTTATTCATATTTTAAAATTCAACTTTAATTGGAGGAGTAACATCTCCGCAATGGTACCGACGTCCTTTTTCTCTTCTATACCATCCACATTTAAGTTTACCAAATGCTAACTCTGAGTGGGAATCATGATTCATGGTATAATTGAGTACTGAGAACAAGGGTGGAGAGCATGTGGACCTCCAGGCATTGCTGAACAACAACACCCAGAAGCCACAGCAAGCATGAAACACGCAAAGGGAGCCACAGTTCAGCCACACCCCCAGGAGGAACACCTCTGTGCTCCTTGCAGAAAGGGCAAACTCTTGCTAAGGAAGACTCAGCAAGGCCGCTGCAGACTTAAGCCGACTACTCACATCCTTTGCGAATTGTAGCACCCACCGCCCTCCAACAAAGGCACCTCCAGGGTGACACAAAGGGAAGGGTTTCTTCCCACAACGTATGCACTGCAGCTACGGAACTCACTGCCACGAGATGCGCCACCGATGAGGATGGCGTTCCTAAGGGCTTGGATCGGCCACTACCCTTCTCTTCCGTGTGGCAGGCCATCGGTCTCTCGACCCCATCTCGAGATCCCCCAGTTCCTGCGCTCAGAATCTGCTGGGGGGCTTCCGAACGAACCCCCGTGGGGCCGACAGGCCTCTGAACCACCCCGCCACCGCCACCCTCGGCAGCGCAACCCAGATTTTGAGAGCCCTTCTCCTTTCAGCCGCACGCTTTGAATGAAGGTCGTTGTGGGTTCCTGCCAGTCTCCACGGAACTGGGATCGTTCCCAGTCTTCTTTTCTCTCTTCCCTCCCCGCCCCCGGAGAAGGGGGGGCGCTTGCAAAGTGAGCCCTGGCTAGGCGGGAAGTAGGAAAGCGGAGATTTTTTCCTGCCTGTTTTCTTAACTTTTCAGACCTACGTGGCTCGCCCAAGAGAGTCCGAAGCAAAGGGCAGGAACGGACTGAAACGGAGTCGCTCGCTCAGATCGAGTCAGGGACCCGGGCGTACGAGCTTTGTTTCAGCAGCCAGGCGGGGCGGCGGGGGCGGCGCAGGAAAAGCCCCT